GGAATCTTAGCTTTAAAATGTAATTTTACTCGAAGCATCATTCAATTCTCCACAAGATTGGCTGATTTCCATGCCATATCTTTATTGGATTGATTGCAAAATAGGGTTAAAACTAAAAAGGTCAACCATAAAATAGCATAGGAAATGGGAACTGGAACCTGTCGAACGGTTCCACTGGAACCATTTCGTTCGCGCCGAAAACAAACAAGACCGGCAGAAATTATGTTGTATTGTGAAATATAAGTGTTTGTGTTTGTTTAATGGATGAAAAGCGCTACCTCAAGCGCAAGGAGAAGGCGCGCAGCGATGGCAATCGCGAGCAGGTGGCTGTCAGCTGCAATCAGCTTGGAGACTTCTACAACCAGCAGGGAAAGTACAATGAGGCGGTCCAGGAGTACAAGCAGGAGGCGTCGATCTATGCCAGCATGGGCAAAGAGCTGGAAACAGCCAAGGCCAAGCGAATGGTGGGTGAGATGTTCACACTGCTGTGTGACTACGATGCGGCCAAGGATCACATAAATGATTACCTCAGTGAGTTCGAGGTTCAGTGGAGAATGAACAGAGTAAAACCTTAAACTTTCTGTACAGAGATTGCCAAGCGACTGAATAATCAGGTGGAGCAGCAGAGAGCGCATGCCACGTTGGGACGCGTGCACCTGTTGCACGGTCAGAGCTTGACGGACAGCTCGGCCTCGGCAGCCATGGAGCAGCTGAAGCTGGCGGAGAAGAGCTTCCTGCGCAGTCTCCTGTTGATCAAAGAGTAAGTGGGGAGCCCCAGTGGAGGTGGAATGTGTGAGCATTAATTATTCTCTCTTCCGGGTCTCTCTGTAGGCTCACGGGTCAGATATCGAAATTGGAGCAGCTTGACATGCAGGCGCGGTGCTATCTGAACATTGGCGTCGTCAAAGAGCACATGGAGGCGTTCGAAGAGTCCATCGAGTACATTGAAAAAGCGATCAAGATCAGCAAAACTCACGATTTGTTCGAGCTGACCCACTTGTGCTACATTTCGATGAGTTTGCTCTACAATTGCAAAAAGAACGACGCAACGGCGGCACTGCGCTTCTGCAATATGGCTCTGGAAGTGGCCAAGCGGCTGCCCAACAAAGTGAAGAAAATCTGCGAGACGCTCATCACCAAATCTGAGATATTGATCAAGGCAGGGGACTTTGCCAGTGTCAAGCAGATCCTCACCAAGGCCTACAAAAAGAATACCCCCGATGAGAACGATCGGGCGGCCATTGAGCGCACGCTGCGGATTGTGGTGAAGATATGCCAGACCCTAGACGAGCTGGTCCTAACCAGTTCGGTGGACTATGCCAAGCTGAAGAGCTTGTACGAGAAGCTGGGCGATGGCTGCTGCCACCTGATGAACTACGAGAAGGCGCTGGTATACTACCAGAAGATGTTGCAGAACGCAGAGCTGAACCAGGAGACCGGCAAGAGTCTGGTGCCCATCTACGTGAGTCTCTATCAAACGTACAGGGACAATCGCCAGTACGACAAGGCTCTGGAGTATTTGTGGAAGGAGTTTGAGGTGAATCAGGACGTGCCGTCTGAGGCCTTCACCACCCTCTGCACCATTGCCGAGATCTGTGAGCAGCAATCGCATCCCTTCTGGACCGTGCACGATGTGTACCAAAAGGCCCTGCGGCAGGCGAGCAAGGCGGGCGCTGCATCCGCTAAACTGGAGAAGATTGCGCTGGTGAGGCTGAGGCGTCTGCAGCTGAAGCACAAAATGGATGTACTCGTGGAAGTTCTAGACACGGAGGCCAAGGCCAAGGGCATCGATTTGGCCGAGGAGGCCAAAAGAGAGGAGGATGAGGAAGAGGAGGAAACGGATGCCGGGGGCATTGCTGTGCAACAAAATACACCCGACTGGGATGATGACTTCGATCTGGATACGCTGACCGACTCCGATGCCAGTGACTTGGATGAGAGCGAAAAGCTGCGCCCACAACGTGCCACTCGCGGCAGTCGCACACTGGCCATCAAAAAGAACAACAAGGGGGAGACGCAGCTGCATCAGGCGTGCATCGCTGGCAACCTGGAGTTGGTCCGCCGACTTATAGACCAGGGCCACACTGTAAACGTGAGAGATCACGCTGGTTGGCTGCCCCTGCACGAGGCCTGCAACCACGGGCATCTGCAGATTGTGGAACTGCTGCTGGACAAGGGAGCGACCACAGCCATCAACGACAAGGGCGGCACCAGCTGCGACGGCATCACGCCCCTCTACGATGCCTGCGCCAATGGGTATCTGGATGTGGCGGAGCTACTGCTGGACCGTGGCGCAGACGCCACTGTGCGTACTGACTACAACGATACCTGCATTGTGGGACTGGACAAGTGGCGACAGTCGGCTCAGCTGGTGGAGGGAGAACAGGCGCAGTATGCCCAGCTGCGGGAGCGACTGCTGCGCACGCTCTCCAAGGTGGGAATTTGTACCCAAAAGAATGCACGACCCCTGACCAATGCCAATGTGGAGAGAGCCAGCCAGGGCAGCGAAAGTGTCTCGGAGGAAGATGAAGAGGAAGGCCTGCGAGAGAGCCAGCTGCGTTCCCTCAGCCACAATCGATCGGGCAGCGAGTACGGTACTAGAAAATACAGCGGCAGTCCTGCACAGCCCAGCGCCAGCAAGGAGTACCGCAGCGTAATGGCGCAACTGAAGCGTCCAAATCGAATCAGTGATGAGACTCCCAGCAGCAGCAGCAAAAGCAACACGAAACGAACTGCCTTCCTGGACTCGGGCGAGGTAGATGCCGACAATTGGCTGATCGACGACGTGGGGCCGGAAAGGAAACGAAAGCGTTTCAATTCGGGCAGCATCAGCACTCGCCAGCAGGATTCGACAGGCGTGTCTGTGCAGCCAAATTGGGAGGATGATCTGCTGCAGGCCACACCCGAAGCCGAAGTGAGCTCCCAGAAGCGTCTGAAACAGATGAAAAAGCTGACGCTCTCGCGCTCCTCCAGCATGAACAGCAACCACAGCAGCTGCAGCAGTCGCAAACCCAAGCAACAGACCACGCTGCTGGACAGCGGCTTCAGTCGGTTTCGCAGTGAGAGTCCCTTTGGCAGCGAGTCCTCCCTCGATGGAGCCGCCTCAGTGATTAGTTTGCGCACCACAGAGCCAGACTCTACCACGGGCACCACATCCATACAGCTCCTCATCTCTCCGTGCAAATCTTCGCCCATTAAGGTGCAGACCACGCCTGTCGTCGCCACCACAGTGTCCTTCAAAGTGAAAGTGCAGGATGAACTCTTGCTGGTTCCAGTTGAGCGCAAGAAGCTGCAGGACATCAACATGCGCTGGCTGGCCGAAGAGGCTGGCAGGCGCTACAACAAGTGAGTGCTGAAGGGTAAATGCCATGACCAAACCCTTACTCAATGCGAATTCCCTGCTCTGTACAGATTAACTGGCCTCACACCTCTGCTGCGCCTGAAGACTGCCGATGGCTTTGCCTACGAGGAGACAGATACCGTGAGCGTGGCCCTCGAGCAGAACATGCTGCTGGCCACGATTTTAGATTGGAAAATCTCACCACTCTCACAGCGCTACGAGGAGATGTGCCATCAACTGCAGAGGAGTAAGTTAAAAGGAAGAAACTCTCAATAAATGGATGAATGATGGCACAACCTCACCCTTTTCAGCTGTGGACAACAAGGTTAAGCTCGTGCTGGAGCGTTCGCAGAACACCCTAATGCTGGAGCTGTCTGGCCTCTGGCTGCGCGCTCAACAAACGGAGCCCGTGTTTAAGGCGCTGCTGCATCAGGCACGTCTCACGGTGCTGGATCTGTCGCGCAACTTTATTGGCAACGAGGGCTGCCAGCAGTTGGGCAAGGCTTTGCCCACGTTGCTGCAGCTGAAGGCGCTGCGACTGCAGTGCAATGGCATTGGCTACCAAGGATTGGAGGCGCTTCTCTGTGGCCCAGGCATGGAAAAGCTAGAGCTGCTGGAGGAACTGCAACTGAGCCAAAACCCACTGGGAAATACCAGTGCGCGGACGCTGCACAAGTTCTGTGCCAGTCCCGCTGGTCGTGCGCTTACTTCGCTGCATCTGGCACAGTGTGAGCTGACGGAATTGCTGGACTTTGATCTGGGTTTCAGCCAACTGAGCTGCTTCGACATCAGCTTCAACCAGCTTAGTCAGCAGAGCGTGCGGAGGCTGTCGGAGCAGCTAAACAGCTGTCGTTTGCAGCACTTGAACATGAGCTACGTCCGCTGGCCGCTCGACGAGACAAGTGGCTTTGCTTTGGCCGATCGTCTGGTGTGCCTGCTCGAAGGTGGCACATGCGAGCGATTTGTCCGCGTTGAGTTCGCCGGCTGTGGCCTGACCGATGCTCATCTGTACAAGATTACCCAGCATCTGGCCAAGGCCAAGCAGCTGCAGTGGCTGGACGTCAGCGACAATGGCAGGCTTAGTGGCAGCGCTCTGGGCTACATGCTGGACGATCTGCCAAAGCTGCGATCGCTCCTCGCGGCAAATTGTACGAGTATGTTGGACGACACTCGCCTGCATAAGCTGGAACAGCACAAGCAGCTGCCCAGGCGCCTCGATTTGAGCATTGATGAGAAAGTGTTTACACTGCCCGGTGCATTGGAGACGCTGCAGTCTATTTGGCAGCTGCAATTCGGAGCCAAAGCCAAGATACAGACGGCAGCCAAGGGTCGACGGAATGGTAAGCTTTACAAGGGTCTCCTCAGGCTCTGTGCCGATGAAAACGAACTGGAATAGTGGATTCTACTTATTTGTTATATGATTATGTCTCTCCTCTCTATCGTATTGTGCCATCTGTATTTTTTATTGTTTGACAAATATTAATAAGCGAAACTAAGTACATCTTATCGCAGAGTAAATAGGCCAAATGGCTCTTTCGAAGGGACTGATATGATATCAGCGAATGACGGCAGTGACAATGAATTAGAGTACGAGCCGGGCCGGATCTTGATCTACTTGAGGCAAGAGATTCGCAGGCAGACTTTCCACTTTCCCCGAGGGTTTATGTAACTATAATTGTACTTTTATTTATCGAATTGTTGTGAATGTGTTGGTCTACAATGAGTATGACTGAGGTGAATGGATGTAAGTTGAGCATCGGAACTTAAGCTTTGCCCTTGGCCGCCTCGTACATGTTTCTGGAGATAATGAGACGCTGGATCTGAGAGGTGCCCTCGTAGATCTGATAGATCTTGGCATCGCGCATCAGCTTCTCCACGGGATACTCGCTGTTGAAGCCATTGCCGCCGAAGATTTGTACGGCATCGGAGGCGATCTTGTTGGCCATATCGGCGGCATGGCACTTGGCAATGGAGGCGTAGTAGCTGTTGCGGCGTCCCTGGTCAATCTCCCAGGCGGACAGGCGCCACGCCAGACGCGAGGTCTCCACACCGATGGCCATGTCCGCGAGCATGAACTGCACAGCCTGATGGTAGGCGATGGGCACACCGAAGGTCTTGCGCTCCAGGGAATACTTGAGGGCCTCATCGAGGCAACGCTGAGCCAGACCGACGGCGCCGGCGGCCACTGGAGGGCGGGTCTTGTCGAAGGTGCCCATGGCAATCTTGAAGCCGGCTCCCTCGCCAATCAGCACATTCTCCTTGGGCACGCGCACATCCTCGAAGGTGATGCCACGCGTATCGGAGGCGCGCTGTCCCATGTTCAGCTCCTTGCGGCCGGGCGTCAGGCCGGGAGAGTCGCGCTCGACAATGAAGCCGGTGAAGGCCTTGCTGGACGGGCACTTGGGATCGGGATTGGTGCGGGCGAGCACGAAGTACCAGTTGGCCACACCGCCATTGGTGATCCACATCTTCTGGCCGTTGATAATGTACTCGTCGCCCTTCTTCTCAGCGCGCGTCTTGATGCCATTCACATCGGAACCTGCGCCAGGTTCGGTCACGCCATAAGCGGCCACCAGAGGCTCCTCGAGCAGGCGGCCCAGGTACTTTTTCTTCTGTTCCTTGTTGCCAGAGAGGATCACAGGAGTTTGCTATAAAGAAAATGGAGAAAATTAATGTAGAAGCTGCTGAACTTGGTTGTGATTTGTGGAGACATACACCCAGTCCGCTAGCTTCCAGGGCAGTCATGATGCCGGTGCAGCCATAGGCCAGCTCCTCGGCCGTCAGACAGGTGGTGAACACATCCAGATCGAGGCCGCCAATATCCGCGGGAATGTGATTGTTCATCAGACCCAGCTCCCAGGCCTTCTTTATGATGGGCCACGGGTACTCGCCGGTCTTGTCGTATTGCGCGGCAACGGGGATGATCTCCTCGCGTGTGAATTTGCGTGCCATCTCCTGCAGCTGAGCCTGTTCCTCCGTCAGCGCGAAGGAAGTGCCATTGGGCGACACCTGGGACACGGAGGCATAGGACCGACTTTGGGCCACCAGCTGGCGCAGGGCTGGCGCAGCAATCTACATAGAGAGAGGGGGGGGAAAAAAAAACACAAACAACAATTGACAATAAGATTCCAGTTCGAATTCAAGTGCAAAAGCTGCTCCATATAACGGTACTATTAATAATCGCAGAGGGGGGCAAAGTACACGAACAAACACAGAGATAAGAGGAGGGAGCAAAAAAATAGAAATCTGTTTATGCAGAGACGATCAACAATTCTGCTGGCGTCATCGGGTTATGAGAACTTTGCACCTCCTCCTACGCTTTTGCTTTTTCCCTATGCGCCGGCGGGGATCGTGGAAAGTCTGCACTTGTCTGCACTCACCTTGTTGAGGAACGCCATTGGTCTACGCGGACTCTAATTCCGTACGAAAATATACGAATAATATTAAGTTTTAAACTAGGTCGCCTTTCTGCTCGCTTGTTTGCTTGCACGTTCGTCGAGTTTTCGCCGCGGAATGAGAAATGAGATCCAAATGAGTTGGGCAAATATGCCGGCGAGGCAATGCCAGCTAGTTTGGACATTGGACTCTGTGCTGTCGCTGTCGCTGTGCGGCGCTGCTTTGGCAGAGAGGCAAAAGCTGCACCAGACACCAGACTCTGATGTCTAATGTCGGCACATACCCTGCACATGTGTGGCATATGCACATAAGTCTGAACGATAAGAAAAGATGAATGCTGTGCCTCTCTCTGCATGGGCTACATGGCCTAGAAAGCTCTCTGAAATGTTATTTGAAAGTAATCATACTTGTGCCATATTACATGGCAAATTGAGCGCAAGTGTGGGCCCTTGATTGCTTCTAATAGAGCATTAATTTCCAGTTTGAATGCCAAACAAGTTCCCAAACTACAAGTGACACACCCCCTTTTTGGAACAGTCAAAGTACTCGAAATACCCTACGGCATAAGCTTGACAACAGCTTCACAAAAGCTTCATTGAATGTCGCCATGTACGACAAAGCTTTTAGCGGTCAAAACGTAACGTAAAGCAGCGAAAGTTTTGTGTGCAGAGAACAAAAGAAAAGGCATATTAGGCATGCACTGAAACCGGTCTCGGAGAGATAGCAGTTGATCGTGTATTAAGTTTGTTTATTTTAGAACAACTTATGATCTTGCAAAGGATCTGCTTTTCATCTGCCGAATACTCACTGGTGTTTGGGTGCACTTTTTCAGCGTAAAAGAGCCCCAATAAAAAGACTCAACTCGGGTATTTTCCAAAGCCTAGAAGACTTAGTACTTAAGTATAATGAGTATCATGTAATCATGAGTATTGCCAGCTACCCTGTGCCTTTTGTGATTCTTTGTTCAAACAATCTCCACCTGTGCCTCTAAATGCGTACACCATACTTTGGGGCTGTCATAAAAATAGATGAAATCTAAAAGATATTTTTGTTTCAGCGTTAAAAATAACATACAAGGGACGGGGACCCCCTCCAGTGTTGTGGTTGGAGCGGGAGGAGTCCGTGACACACTTGGAGATGAAAGAAAATCGAGAAGCAGCGAGAATTGTCGCATATGGATGTGGCAGTCCATTAAATCAGCATCACTGGGACAACGAGGAAGGCGGGCGGCATCATAAGCACAGCATCTCTTATCAGCTACGCGCATAAAACTGGGTCCGGTTAAAGCTTCCACCAGCCCAGGACGAACCCCGAAAACGAGGAGGAACGCCAACGAGGCCCGACCCACAGCCGAAGCAGGGTTCGGGTGCCCAGGCGCAGGTGGGGGCAAGGAGAAAAGTCCCGTCGCATCTAAGCCACCACTGGGATCTGGCTGGGTCTGGCCTAGGCTTGGCAGTCAGTCATTTGACATTGCTTCTGCGAGAAGGTTGTCCAAGCGCCAAGCAAAAGGACTCTCCACCATTGCTGCCGTCGTACCGTCGCGTCCAAGTGCACGTCCGCCCTGCCCTCTGTGCGCTGTGTGTGCTGTGAGTGTGTTTTTTTGGTATCCACTCCCACTCCGGAATACCAACCTCCTTCGTAGAGCAGTGAAAAATTAAACAAGTGTTATCTAAGCTACGTACTAAGTGCAAACCCACTAGGGTTTCCGACTCTAACTTCAGTTGAGCCGTTGAAGGTCTCCCCCAGTGTAGACATGGCCCAATTCGTGACACACATTCAGCCGACGCTGATGGAGGCGTCGCAAGGTCATGTACCGCACCACCACGGACATCAGGTGGGTGTGCAGCACTCGTCGCATCTGCCACACAGCGGTCACAACATGCCATCGCCGCCCACCCACAACCATCATCATCACCAGCATGGACACCACGGAGGACACAGTAGCTCTGCTTCACCCTCCTCCCATCCGCATCATCTGCACAAACAGCAGTCATCAGCGCATCATACGAGTGGACATAGCTCACACCCCCCTGCTGCTGCTGCTGCTCATGCTCCTGCTGCAACTGGTCATGCTCCACTTGCTCCGCACATTGGTCATACTGGACAGCAGCACTCGAGTCATCACACGGCCCACTCTGGCCACGCCAAAACGCATCACAGTCCACCCTCCCAGTTGGCATCACCGCCAGCGGAGCAGCACCCTGGCCACTACGAGTTCTATCACCATCAGCATGAGGTGGTCTTCCATCACACCGAAGGCGGGGTGCCAGCAGCACCACCCACCAGCAAGCATCATGACAAGCACGAGCATTGCCCCACAGGACACCACAGTGCGGTAAGCTTACATCATTGAGCCAATTGTGGGTGTCTGGGTGTGGTGTGCTCTTGGGTCAACTTTTAATAATCAACTTTTAGAAAATAATTACATTTGGCTCCCGCATTCCCATATGTTTAATCAAAAGTTTTAGCACAAACTTCTTGGCCACCTTGTTGCCATCTGTAGAGCCAGCCCAACCCACTCGAGTACCCTGAACAATGACGCAATAGTAATCCTTGGACTGGCTCTAAACCGAGGGCTGAGTCATCCGGCCAGTGCGCTTCCGTTTGTCCTTGCCGGGGGGCAACAGCATTAACAGCTTCAGCTGACGTCTTGCAGGCGGTTGCGGCTCCAAAGCCAAACTTCATCATCGCCACCGTTAAAAGGCAGTCAAATATCCATTAGACTCCAACGTCATAATAGAATCCTTGTCAGCTTCGCAGAGCACGCCGAAAAAACAGCGAAAAGCTCTTTTGATATGTTTTTCGGTTTGTTTGGTTTATTAATAGCAGAACCTCCAAATGTTCTCTTTTTCTTGTATTTTTGCACTCTTTCGGTTGTGTCTTGTCTGCTCTGCTCTGCTCTGTTCTGTTTTCTGTTCTGGGTTTATCGTCCGACGGGTCGCATTCGAAAATAATTCAGAAAACGACTCGAATCGCTCGTCGTGTGTGTTGATTTCGGTGCGGCTGCCGCGTGAGGCACTCTAGACAGAATATATATAGAAATATAAATATATTCGGGGTATATCAATTATTTATTGGCCCACAAGTTAATGTGCTGCTGGAATGGAAACTCTGAAGAAACGCTTCCCATCGCTGCAGAGTTTGGGCGTAAGTTTTTTGGGAGCCACCTTGGACTCGTTTTTATGTAATGCTGGCCATTGCCCTATAAATATAAATATTGTGACTGCCAAATTGGCCAACGACAACGAATCGTGCGAATTTTACAATTTCATAATTTTTGTGCAGTGAGCTGAACGCGGTGCAAATGTTGCCATTATCTCCGCCCCCAGCCCCTTCCCAGCCTGCCTTCTATTACCTGCCACATTTTGGCGTGCCCAATTTGACTTGCGTTTTTTAAGGTCGTCAGAAATTATGGGCAATCAGCCCTCCGTCTACTATGTGGCTGGCTGGCTGGCTGGCAATTTACTTAAGGCATTGCCCCGAGCACATTCCTGGCGCGGCCATATTCTGAGGGGTCGGACGACGGCCATTGAAATGTAATACCGCAGGCGACAGCCAGCCCCATCGACAACGCAAACATTAACTTGAGCAAAACAAAACTTTTAACAACATCGAATTAGGAATGCTCTTTTAAGAAAAAACAATGAAGATCCATTTGTGGAATATATTTTTCGGTTTCGGATGTTTTTTTTACTTTTTGTTAGTCAAAAATTTATTTCAATCCGTAGCAGCTATTTTCCCTTTAAAAGTTCTTCTGCAAACTGTGCCAAAAATAAGTAAATATTTCCTCTGGGGTTGAATTTATTGCTAATAAATAATCTATACCATACGTCCATCAATTGAGCCATCCCTTAGTGGGCCTAATAAATATCCATCCATCCGACAAGGCCCGTGGCGTTGTTGTTCAATCGAATTGAAGAGGCCAACAGGCATGCCCCATTCTAAAGATTAATTAAACCCTTAGTCTATTATTAATCAGGAAACCCCCGAAGTGACAATAACCAGCCCCCGAAAGAGCATAAACATCTTTGAATAGCCAGGTGACATGCGAACATGCAATTTGGCTTGGCTTGTGGCCAACCCCCTGGCTTCGCGGGGCTTTAAAGTGCGGCCGAAACCCCTTTGGCTGGCCCAAAACAAACAAGCCAATGTTTGGCCAAGCGATAAAGGCCAGCCTGCGGCTTCGGGGTGGAAAACACACAGTGGAAACTCTTTAATTAAATTCAAAATGTGCCTCGCACCTTGCCTCCAGCTCCAGCCTGCGGTTTGGCTGGTCCACGTCCACCCACCCACTGGTATTCCCACTACTTAGTTGCTTGCAACGTGATTCACGCACACACTCATTATTTTCCGGTGTAATTTGTCCCGGTCACGATGCAATTTCAAATGCAATTTTATGCAATCGTTAGCCCGGGGGATGGCTTTGCTTTTGCAATCCCCGACCAGGGGTGGATTTCCTCTTCCTGTTCGCACTGCTGTCTAATTTGCTGGAGAACAAAGAAATCCAACCAGAAGTAAAGAACACAACTGAATTTGTGCCGTGCCGTGGTGTGACTTGGCTTACTGGGCACAACGTGACCGGGAATGCATACGCATCTGATTGGGATGTGGCCTCCAGTGCGGCCTCTGGTTGGGGGATGTTGGGTGTGTGATTTTCGAAAACGAAGTGACTTCGAAACGGGAAATACAACTCGTAAACAATATCCAGTATGATTGACTGCGTCTGCGCGGCGAAGAAAGAGAGTGCCGACCCTGGAAGTTAGCTCTTTCGGCCATCTGCCACCCCTCAACCAACTGTGGATTGTGTTTGCCATACGCCGGGCCCTTGTTTACGCTCAGTCAACAAAACTTTCGGACCCTGGTGCAAGCACCAAGCTGTACAGGGTCTGGGTGGGTCCACTGTATGATGCTTAGTCTGTGTACTTAGCTAATTAGTTTAATGTGTTGGTGGAATTTAATGCCACTACTGCGCGGAGGGGCTGGTAATTGTGCTGCGAATGAGTGTAAGATTAATGCGGGTCTTGTTGGGATAGTTACAATTACACCCAAGCCATGCCATGGCTGTATAAAGAGATTAAGGAATTGTGTAAGCACACATGTTGTTTGCTCTATGGAAACTTTAGTGCCTGACACTCTTCTCAAATTACAAACAAAATAGAGTTTAAGGTTGCGGGAATCTTAAAAAGATTATGGATTTGTTGCTAAATTTCTTTAGTTTTCAGATGTATTAGATACTACTTATGATACAAAAACTAACCATGCTTATGGGATATACGAAATATGTGCTAAAATCCTTCGGTTTGCTATTTTTGAAACCCAACCCAAGTCTCATTTAATCCCCCAATTAATGATTTCTCTTCCACTTCCCTGCATTCACTCAAAAGTCTTTAAAAACAATAAATCTCGTCCAGAACAGTCCCATGATATGGCTTAATGTTGGCTCTGCCTTTAAAGCACGTGCGAGTGAGTTGCTTCCACACCATCCATGAGAACGTCAACAAAAACAACAGGCACGTGCCTCTTGGAGGAGGGTAGGTGGGTTAGTGATTGTCCTCTCGTTTCCGCTGCCACTTCCACTTCAATTTCCAGGAAGCAGGCGCAGCAACCCCTGGCGTTAATGTATTCCAATTTCCAATTGGAAAGGGCGAGTGCGCAGGTCCTTCGAAATCCTGGCATTGCCGACAGTTCCAACCACGGCTAGGTAGGACTTTTCGCTGGTCGAACGCATCCAGTCTGGAGTTGAACATTGAAGAAAACGGCAGCAAATTGCCAACTGCTCCTCGAAAATAAACGTGAACCCCAAAGGGACTGTGTGTGTGTGTGAGACCAGTTGGGAATCCAATCAGACACGGACACAGATACAGAGACACCACCACAGTTACTGCGACAAGTACACTGACGCACACACTCGTGCACATACATAATACAACACACCCTCGCACACACCCCTTGCACTTCTCGTGTACATATTGCTTACATAAAAGTCCAAGGAAAAATCGATACGAGTGCATTTAATATTCAGAGAAAGAATCTGAAAGGAGTCCAGTGAAAACTCCGCACCGCCTTGAGCCTTGCCCAGTGAAAAGAACAAAAATATGACTAATCAGTGACGACATTGACGACGCGAGAGCCGCCGCTTACACAATTACTCTACACACCCAGAAAGAAAATCGCAGACGTGGAAAGGTTTATCATAAGCGGACACATTCTCTCCACTGGCAAAGATGGTCACTGAAAATGGAGCTCAGGTAAACCCATCCATCAGAGTTTCATCCCAATTACCTTTCAGCGTTCGTAGACTTTTCGGGCCAACTGTGCGACTGTGGGGGCAGCCATGTTGGCGTCCATTTTGCGCATTATTGATTTTTCGTTGTCTGGGCTGAAAATCGGATTAAATCAAGCAAAAAAATGTCTTAAAAATTATGTTTAAGTGGAGCCTTGATGCTTTCTTGGGGTGCTAGAGTGCAGATGTCCCTGTCCAAGTGAAGACCTTGAGGCTGCAACCGTTTTTGGGGCCACCAACTGCAGAAGTTTATTGATTTTTCCGACTTCCTTTACTGATTTGTGGGGCGTTTACGATCTTCGCTGGGACAATAGGCTAAAAATAGTTAATTGTTGGTGGCCGTGTGGGGAGCGGAACTGCACGACTACCAGCGGAACTGGGTGTGGTACGTGCGTGTGTCCGTAGTGTAAGGTAATGAAGATTTAGGTTAGCGGCGCTGATGACATGCGACATTTGTCGCGACAAGATGGGGCACAAAAATCCATACTATGAGTCATTTTTCTCTCATCTGGCACTTCGGTAACTGATTCTTTGTTGCTCCTATAATGAGATCCACTTGGCTCTCGATTATGTTGCCACTTGGAGGACCATTTTGCCACACACAAATTGAAAGCAAATCCACTTGAAGGAAACAAACTCTCCACTCCTTTGACTCAAGCACCCAATCTGCGCCCCGAGTGCGAGTGTGGAGCAGCAGCTCGTTATACAATGGTGAGGCAAGCACCTTTGAACTTTTGCCCTCGCCCCTGGCTATCGTTTGCCCAAGTCCTCTAAAGATCTCCCTCCACTGCCAGTGCCACTGGCCCCTCTTGGGTTGAGCAAACAGACACCAGGAAGCAGTCGTCGAAAATAACCTTCTTTTGAATTCTGTCTCATACGAGTATGTATGCTCAGGGCATACGAAATGAGTCTGAAAAGGCGGCTTTGGTTCATTCCCCAACTTCCGCATTTAGTGGTGAAGGAGGGGCCAGAGTCGGTCGAGCCCTCGCCTTTGAATTGCAACAGCTTCGAATGGAACGCAGGAAGGAAGCGAGTCTGGCGAGGTGTCTATGCTGCGGTGTCGGCATCGACAGCGGCGTCGCTTCGGCTGAATGCCTTCCAGTGCGAAACCTTCCAGTTGCAATTCGCAAAACGCCGTGACATGACGTCACTTTCGATGTTGAATCACTGGAAGCGGCGGGGCGTAAGAACCCTCCACAAAAAAAAAACATAAACAAAACGCGAGTGCCGTGCGATAAAATCGACAGCTGTGTTCGCGAGTGGGTGGCCGGGTCCGAGGGTCTGAGAGGGTGGTGGCCATTAAGCCGAATTACACCTGCGCCCCATGTTGACCCCTCGCCTTGACCGTCGTCGCTGTTTCGCTGTTAGCTTGAACTTGAGTCGTCACCGAGTGCTGGCTGGGGCAGGTGCAGGTGCAAGTTCGCGGCACCCCGCTTGGAGTTGCGCAACGAAGGTTACGGCTACATGGCAACTATCAATAAAACTCCCCAAGTTCCCTGTTCCGCTCGTTGATGGATGCGCAGGTGGCACGCAACTTCCAAAAGGAGACTCCGGCTCACCATTCCATTTGCAGCTGAACGGAAACACGGCCAAGATGGATGGGATTGCAGGTGATATGTTGCCAGACTATAAATTCTAGCTGACCTTTTCCTGGCAAAATAAAGTACAGAAATATATTTGTAACATAGTTTGTTTATTGTGCAATCACTGACCTTTCTTGGGGCGCTTTCAGCACACTCTTAGTACACCTCCAATTGATCTTATTAAATGTTTCCTATCATTGCAGGGCGATGGCAACACTTCCTTCCTGCGTGCTGCTCGGGCCGGTAATCTGGAGCGTGTCCTCGAGCATTTGAAGAACAACATTGACATCAACACCAGCAATGCGGTAATAGCAGCTGGCCCATGACTTAGCACAGCTTAACACTAATCTATAACCTATTTCCTTTATAGAACGGCTTGAATGCCTTGCATTTGGCCTCCAAGGATGGCCACATACACGTCGTCTCGGAGCTGCTGCGACGCGGCGCGATTGTGGACAGTGCCACCAAGAAGGGCAACACGGCGCTGCACATCGCCTCGCTGGCCGGACAGGAGGAGGTGGTGAAGCTGCTGCTGGAGCACAGTGCCTCCGTCAATGTGCAGTCGCAGAATGGATTCACGCCCCTGTACATGGCGGCACAGGAGAACCACGATGCTGTGGTGCGACTGCTGCTGTCCAACGGCGCCAACCAGAGCCTGGCTACCGAAGATGGCTTCACGCCGCTGGCCGTGGCCATGCAGCAGGGCCACGATAAGGTTGTGGCCGTACTCCTCGAGAGCGATACGCGGGGAAAGGTGCGTCTGCCGGCTCTGCACATTGCAGCCAAGAAGGACGACGTCAAGGCTGCTTCTCTTCTCCTAGATGTGAGTATTCACAAACATGGAAAGTAAAGTAGAGAGTTACTAATGTCTCCTCCTCCCACCACACAGAACGACCACAATCCGGATGTGACTTCCAAGTCGGGTTTCACCCCGCTGCACATTGCCTCGCACTATGGCAACCAGAACATAGCCAACCTGCTGATCCAGAAGGGCGCCGATGTCAACTACTCGGCCAAGCACAACATCAGTCCGTTGCACGTGGCTGCCAAGTGGGGCAAAACCAACATGGTCTCGCTGCTGCTGGAGAAGGGCGGCAACATCGAGGCCAAGACCCGCGATGGACTCACGCCGCTCCACTGTGCCGCCCGCTCGGGCCACGAGCAGGTGGTGGACATGCTGCTGGAGCGCGGTGCCCCCATTAGCGCCAAGACCAAGAACGGTCTGGCTCCCCTCCACATGGCGGCCCAGGGCGAGCATGTGGATGCCGCTCGCATCCTGCTCTACCATCGCGCGCCCGTCGATGAGGTCACCGTCGACTATCTGACCGCTCTGCATGTGGCGGCTCACTGCGGCCATGTGCGCGTGGCCAAGCTGCTGCTGGATCGCAACGCCGACGCCAATGCTCGTGCCCTAAACGGGTTCACGCCACTGCACATTGCCTGCAAGAAGAACCGCTTGAAGGTCGTCGAGCTGCTGCTCCGTCACGGCGCCAGCATTAGCGCCACCACGGAGAGCGGCCTCACACCGTTGCACGTGGCCGCCTTCATGGGTTGCATGAACATTGTCATCTATTTGCTGCAACACGACGCCAGTCCGGATGTGCCCACTGTGCGTGGCGAGACGCCATTGCATCTGGCAGCGCGTGCCAACCAGGTGAGATCTTTGAACACAACAAAAATTTGTTTGGGAATTTTCACAAAAGTTTTGTGCATTTTATTTGTACATCCAAAAAGTTGAGCTTAGGCGGGCTTGCCGCGTCCGAATCCGCCACGAAAGTGAAACTGGCCACTGCCGGGTCCGATATCTCCCTTCTTGTCCGTGTTGTTGGCGCCGGGTGGCCCGTGGCGATAGGCCGCACGGTCCTCGTCTTCGCCGCGTGGCTTGGCATCAGATGAACGTGCGCGCGGGCGAGTGTGAGGGGCGCGAGCGCGAGGCATGAAGGTTGCGGGCACAACCTCTGGGGGCAAGTGAAGATACTGGCGCAAGAAGTCGACGCCCTCGTTGGTCACACACCAGTAGTAGTGACGCCAGTTGTACTGCTCCTTGACGATGCCGCGTGAAGTCAGCGACTGCATGGTCTTGATGACCTGCACGTTGGGAATGGACTTCAACTGCTCGTGCTGGACTTTAAAATCTTTTTCGGCCAACATGATGCCCTCCTTGCAGAGGGACTCGTAGATAGCAACGCGATTAGCCTTTGGGATGAACATTTCCACTTAGTTTTACGGTGAATGACTTGAGGTTTCGCAAAAATTCACAAAAATCAAAGAACGGTGGCGTCTCGGCTTCGATGCCTTGTTGTCGAAGCTTCGAGGAATCGATTGGTACCTGGTATCGACTAGATCCAAGCATCGATAGCTGAACACTGATCGAAACGATAATATTTGAATTCAATTTTGACATTGCTCATTCCAGACCGACATCATTCGCATTCTGCTGCGCAACGGCGCCCAAGTGGATGCACGTGCCCGGGAGCAGCAGACGCCGCTGCACATTGCCAGCCGACTGGGCAACGTTGACATCGTAATGCTGCTGCTGCAGCACGGCGCTCAGGTGGATGCCACCACCAAGGACATGTACACGGCGCTCCACATTGCCGCCAAGGAGGGACAGGATGAGGTAAAAGAATTGATTGCGAAAAAGATCACGGACCACATCGACACTGTCTATCTGATGCAATTGTTTTGGATACGGCATCAGGAGTTTTTCATTTGATTATCAGTTCTTATATTCCGTTGCATTAGTATCGTTTTTATCTTTTGTATCGACTTTTATGAGTATTACCAATTATTGTTGTCTCTTCTTTTTCTGTTGTCTTTTTTTTCCAATAAATGTTGCCACCTTGTTTTCTTTTGTAGAATGGTATTATTTGTCTGCTTTTTCAGTATTTTTGTAGAATCTGGTCACACTCGAAAGTTCATTGCACATGTTGTCGCCATTTGCAATCATTTCGCGCATTTTTCGGTAATCCCTTGGTAAAATGTACAATTTCATTCACCACGCTTCAGGTGGCTGCCGTGCTGATCGAGAACGGGGCTGCGTTGAACGCCACCACAAAGAAGGGCTTCACCCCGCTGCACCTGACGGCCAAATATGGACACATCAAAATGGCGCAGCTGCTGCTGCAGAAGGAGGCTGATGTGGACGCCCAGGGCAAAAATGGCGTGACTCCGCTCCATGTGGCCTGCCACTACAACAACCAGCAGGTGGCCCTGCTGCTGCTCGAGAAGGGAGCCAGCCCCCATGCCACCGCCAAGAACGGACACACGCCGCTTCACATTGCGGCGCGCAAAAACCAGATGGACATTGCCACCACTCTGCTGGAGTACGGCGCCCAGGCCAATGCCGAGAGCAAGGCCGGTTTCACTCCGCTGCACCTGAGCAGCCAGGAGGGCCATGCTGAGATTTCCAACCTCTTGATCGAGCACAAGGCAGCCCTGAATCACCCGGCCAAGAACGGCCTCACTCCCATGCATCTGTGCGCCCAGGAAGACAACGTGAATGTGGCCGAGATTCTGCAGCGCAACGGCGCAAGCATCGACATGCCTACCAAAGCTGGGTTCACGCCCTTGCACGTCGCCTCGCACTTCGGCCAGGCCAACATGGTGCGCTTCCTTCTACAAAATGGAGCCAACGTGGACGCGGCCACCTTGATTGGTTACACCCCTCTGCATCAGACCGCACAGCAGGGGCATTGCCACATTGTCAACCTACTGCTGGAGCACAAGGCGAATGCCAATGCCCAGACCGTCAACGGGCAGACAGCCCTGAACATTGCCCGCAAGCTGGGCTACATCAGTGTGCTGGACTCGCTCAAGTCCATCACCACAGAGGATGAGTCGAGCGCCGCACCAGCACAGACCGAGGAGAAGTACCGTGTCGTTGCCCCGGAGGCCATGCACGAGTCGTTTATGTCCGACTCTGAGGAAGAAGGCGGTACGTATCTCTTGATAGTTTTACACTTTGTTCCAATTTACACCTGCGCCATGCTAGTCCGCCAGCACATACAGACCACGACCACACCCAATGCCCATAGATTTATGCCTAGACTTAAGTGAATCCACCCGCTTTCATGTGTGCCGTCAGGTCACACGAACTGGGAATTGGACGCGTGCTACGAGTACGGCATTGGCGTTGACCACAGCCACAGTCAACGCCACAGTGAACGGCCAGACGCTCACGTCTACATGCCGTATTACCAAAGCGACACACTCTATGTCACCAGTAAGTGTCCACAGAGTTGGCAAGGCCTTGCCCAGCAACTGCAACAACTCGTAACTCCTAAATCTACTCGTAATCGTATTCGTATCTTACCCACTGGCCGTTATCAAGTGCACTAATTTGGCTGTAATTGGATACCGAGATTGATCACCAAAGTTAACCATCAAACGATAGCACTTGATATGGGGCTGAACTGTATCAATGTATAAATTAATTCTTGCCGTTGTTGTAAACCAAATGAGTGCAGAGACTCCACCACTTTCCAATTGTCATTGTTTCCTTTGTGAATTTTAAATGTTTCATTTTATTTCGTCCAATTTGCCATACTTTATATTGTTCGATGAACTTTCTTTATTTTAATTGTAATATTCGTCAGTCCGTTGGAACCACAACTGTACAGCCAATCGATGGATGTTGTTGCCCAAAATGTCCCTGAAATAATAAGCGAGTCTTTTAATTTAAATGTCAGCGTTCAGATGCAAATAAATGATCCCCGTATTTGCTTTTACTCGTACCATGGCATGAAATATACCTACTACTCGTACATACTTGTGTATCCCATGTAAATCCTTTGTCAAGCTCTATTGTATCAATGTAATAATCTACATATATGCTCCCGTTTAATGGTCATGCTAGCTTTACATACTATATCATCCTTATATCAACTAATCTTACATATAACGATTATACAATTATACATACAAATGAAGCATGTCGATATATACAAAATTGTATAACTAAAATCAAACTCATTTGCATTCTTCTACTTTCAATGCACCGCCCTCTCGCTCTTGCAACTATAACACCACAACTACACCAACAACTGCAACAACAACTACAACAACAACAACAACAACAATCAACGCTACTATATGGCCAATTGGAATGTCTTGTGCTTTATTAAAATCAAAACGAAATGGAATGCAACCGCAACCGCAACCGCATCGCCTCGAAAACAACGCAATCGAAACCAATCGAATATCCAAAATATAGGCGAAGACAATATGCTATCAGATCAACCATACCGTTATCTGACCGTTGATGAAATGAAATCCCTAGGCGATGACTCGCTGCCCATTGATGTGACCCGCGACGAGCGCATGGACTCCAACCGCATGACCCAGAGCGCTGAGTATGCCGGCGGAGTGCCTCCCACCATTGGCGAGGAGGTGATCAGTCCACACAAGGCGCAGGTATACGGAAACTCGCCCAAGGCCACCGTTGATGGCGTCTACATAGCCAACGGCCATGGACTCGATGAGCCGCCGCATGTGGGGTGAGTAAAATAGATTTGTGTTTCGAGTTTTAGTGTCTAATAGGATTTTCTTGCAGCCGGAAATTGAGCTGGAAGAGCTTCTTGGTCTCCTTCCTGGTCGATGCACGAGGCGGAGCCATGCGCGGTTGTCGCCATAGCGGCGTGCGCATGATAATTCCATCGCGCTCCACCTGCCAGCCGACGCGGGTCACCTGTCGGTATGTGAAGCCACAGCGGACCATGCATCCGCCGCAGTTGATGGAGGGCGAGGCTCTGGCCAGTCGCGTGCTGGAGCTAGGTCCATGCTCCACCAAATTCATTGGCCCCGTGGTCATGGAGGTGCCGCATTTCGCCTCGCTACGTGGCAAGGAGCGCGAAATCATTATTCTACGCTCCGACAATGGCGAGACCTGGCGCGAGCACTCCATCGACAACTCGGAGGAGATCATCCACGACGTCTTGCAGCAGTGCTTCGAGCCAGAGGGTGAGTCCGGGGGAGTGGGCCTGGCTGTACCTTTGTGCTTGACTATAACGTGGCTTCTTTCCTGTGTAGAAATCGCCCAACTGGAGGAGCAGGCCGGCAATCATGTGTGCCGTTTTGTCACCTACGACTTTCCCCAGTACTTTGCCGTCGTCTCGCGCATTCGCCAGGAAGTGCATGCCATTGGGCCCGAGGGCGGCATGGTATCCAGCACCGTGGTGCCGCAGGTGCAGGCCGTCTTCCCCCAGGGAGCCCTCACCAAGAAGATCAAAGTTGGCTTACAGGTAAACCTCTTTAAACCGCGCAAAGGCGTTGCGCCTGAGAAGCTACGCAAGATTAGCGTCAATCATGTGCCCAAGAAGAAGCGCTTCTCGCTCATCTGGTAAATCACATAACTAAAAACAAAGAAGAAAAACCAGGCCAAAATTTGGTCGAAATATATCTATACTAAATACGAAATACGTTATCGGTCAGCATATATAATCGTGCATTTAATCTACAACTTCCCTGAAATGAATATCAAAATCAAACTCCAAAGAATGCAAAATACGTTTTCCAAAGTAGAAAATACGCATTTATAATCAAAGATAAAATCCAATAGCCAGTAACCAGTAACCATCTATGTTAACCCGAGTCCCCTTAGTCCTGTGTAGAAGTATGGTAGATGGTATGCACCTGTACTTACTCGTAAAATCAATATTCAGCGCCATGCAAAGGCGATTCACAGTGAAGGACCTGCCTTTGAGTGTGTAAATCCGGCAACTGTGAGTGGCCTTTGCATGCCTTACTCCAAAACATTATCCAAATGTTATTTATTTATGAAATATGTGCACTTTGAACTTATCGAAACACCTTAAGAACTTTATGGCACTCAGCTTATGTGGAGCCATTGCGAAATCGGCTTCCTCTTGCTAACTAATCACAGATGAAAGATGCTATGCAGATAGTGACATTCAATAATACTTATAAACATATATGAATCTATTGGTTTTGATCATGGATCAAGTGCGAATTCTGTAACGATCGCGTAAAGAAATTGTCCAAGAGAATGTCCAATGAATATCGATATCGAAAATATTATGATACCATTAACCAATATGCTATAACTACTATAAACTATTATTCATACATTATTTATGATCCACTTATGCATAAGATTATACAAGTTTCTCTGAAATGCAGTACTACCCAATAAATTTAGTTCAACAAAAACTTTATGCCAATGAAAATGTTTTAATTACTTTTCATTTGATTCATTTTTCATTCAATTCAATTGCTTTTTCAAATCGAATACAAGAAACCAAAAACTAAAACATAATATATTAAAAGCGAAATCTAAAAAGAGGTAAAAAAAAAAGAAGAATACTTAGAGAGTTACAATTGGGTCCCGGTTCGAAGTGCCTAAACGAAGTTGTAACATTTTGGCCTTGCGGCATCGCATCGTAAGCAAAAAACGATTTTATAATGGCCCCCACTCATGAGTTCGAACTTTTCGCACGTTTTATTTGCATTTTCTCTTTACCTACTTCTCTACTTTACTATCTCTAATCTAAATTCTTCCTGAATATTCTTCCGTTTTAATTTTTTTATTTCTGTATAAATGCTGTATAAAGCTTTTAAGTTCTTTAAAATATTCTTCAGTTGTAGTCAAAGTTTTTTTGATGACTAAATTTATTGGGACATAAATGGGCTTGAACATTGTTATCGTTTGTAGTTAACTTATACCGTATTTTAACTGAAACATGCTGAAACAATTGCTCAATACCACCATGAATACGAAAAAGGATATGCATAATACATCAAACTGAATAATCATTGTACAAAAACAACAACAAAAGACACGACCCACCAAAAATGCCAAGGCGAGTGCTGGTCGAATTGAATCGAGAATGTTCACCCTTTAAGCCCCAGACTCATTTCATTTTATTTTAATAGTTTAATAATATGTTCATTTCATGTTGTGTGAGAAACGAGAGGCGCATATTTCGTATATAGTTACTTGGTTTTTGTTATGGATTTATGTTTGAATTTTAATTTATGTTCATCTCATGTACTTGATACATACTGTATGCGTATGCGTATACGAACGAGTATGCGTGGCCGGGAAATCGATTTTTGTCTATTGTGCCAATCCGAAATTCGTTACACTCTCGTTCTAGGCCCAGCCGGTCGATCCCGATCTAACCGCCAAGCTGCTGGGTCGCGGTGTGGCCGTATCGCCGATAGTGACGGTCGAGCCGCGCCGCCGTAAGTTCCACAAGGCCATCACACTCAGCATGCCGGCACCGAAGGCCCACAGCCAGGGGATGATCAATCAGTATTCGGGCAACACGCCAACCCTGCGGCTCCTATGCTCCATTACAGGTAAGTTGTAGCTGTTACCGATTCGCCATCCGATCTTTTGTGTTGTTTGTAAAATGTGATCCAAGCAGTTATTCTAACTATTATGAGTATACCTACCCCCACTTACATTTACATTTACATTACGTTAGTTGATGTTTACCAGTACAGATCCTCCTCAACCCCCAACCTACAACCTCCTTCTCTGTCTCTCTCTCTCTCTCTCTCTCTCTGTCTCTCTATCTATATCTCAGGCCTTCATTTACTTCATTCCTGGTTATGATTTCTTGAGTGTATACTGTATGCCTTGGTTGAGTTGATTTCGTATCTGCTTTCGTTGATCATTTTAGTTGTCTATAACATTTAGAATTAAAGTAACTCATGTGCTAATAAGTAGTACTCTATAAATACCATACATGCCATATACTACTACTTAAAATATCCAACCCAAGTACCTATGCATATTGTTGTACAGAGAAAAATTGCCAAAAAAGAAACTATCAAAAGAACGAAAGATCTAGGGAGCATTATCAGAGATGGCTCCGCGAATTTGGTCCAATTTGTTAGTATGTATAGGTCTCTCCCATCTGATATCCATTGTGCTTGACTGTCTGTGTGGTAGATGCTACAAGTTGTTCTCGGGTGTTCCGGCAGGGCCCCGCCACGCCATGCCTCGACCTCGCCCCCGCCTCGCATCGTATCGTATCGAGTAATATCTTTGAATCTTAGACCAGTTGTAGAGCATTCGTCATTCACCTTAACATACAGACACGGATACGCTCATACATGTACATCCACAACACACACTCAACACCCACACGACACTACAAGATAAGAAGTTACAGTTACAACCAACCAAATACAACTCTTCCTGTGACACTTAATCCGCTCTTACCTCAATGTCATGTTCAGTGTGTCTAACTCCTCCTACTCTCATTGTGCCTAACGGTGTTTGTTCCGTTACTCTTTTACTCTTCTCTTTGTTACTCTTTGCGTTCGTTCGATCGTTTCGGTTTACCGTTTTCCGTTTAAGTTTCAGTTGAGTTCTCCTGATTTTCGATGATAATTTTAGTGTTGAGCAAAGACAAATAAAAAACAAAACAAAACCCAAACAAACTTCAATTTCAATTCTTGATTGAAAACATATTTATGTAATTGTTCTATAATTTCGTACTAATGCGTCATTGCATATGTGTGCACGCATTCCGTTCTGTTTATCTCAATCCATTGAAGGTGTGTTTCGGAAAAGGTCTCTAAAAGGTAACTAAAACAATGGCTCAAATGTCACAAATACTAAAAATAAATAATACAAATTCAGAAATTCACAAACATGTATGAGGTTTCAAATTGAAACTGTTTAAAAACTATCAAATCGTTATTTGTTCATATTTAGTTGTTTCGTTCTATGCCAAACAAAATAAAATACAATACTTAATGATTAATTAAGTTGTGCTGCGAAAATAAGGCAAATAACAAAGTCCAAGAAAGAAATTTTGACAAAAAATTTGAAAATTCTGCATATTTTATTTATGATAAATTCTCTTGTTAAAACCAACTATTGCAAATATTTTATACATTTGTTTTCCAACTTCTCTTTGCTTTCAAAGACTTTCATTTTCATTGAATTTTTTCTTTTCATTGGTTATTCAGTTTTCGGTTGTACTCTTTCTGTTGATTTTCATTTAGTTCTTTGCTTCAATTCGTGTCTCGCTGCCTCTTTGGGTTTACGACTTAAGCAAGTACCAGAAACTCTGGATTATCTTTTGGGTTTCTGTTTTGGGTATGGCTTTTGACCCCACTCCCATTGGCAGAGTTCTCTGGGCCAAGATTTTGCTTCCGGCTCTTCCAAGCAGCTTAGTTTTCCAATTTATCGTACTTTTTCGAACCTTAAGCTTGTGATGCAAACGTCTTCGCCTTCTACTAACTATCTCTGTAACTATCTCTCCCCATAATATACCATAAAAAGAACTACTAAGCGACTTTCTGAATGCACGCGGTTTATTGCTAAATATATACGAAATACGATACCTAAACTGCACAATTTCATTCAACAGTTTTTGTAGGTTTTTGTAAGCTAACTAATTGCCAAATAAAGTTGCTCTTTGGGCCATTGAAACCGTACTAAACGCCAGATCTACTACCTTGATTTGTTTGGTTCTTTTCTGTTTGGTTTATGACTTCATTCTAACTCCATTCACACACATGATATTAAACTTAAACATACATTTCTGATTGTTAAGGCTTTTCAGCTTTACGTTTCATTTTGAAGTACCATTTCAGTTGGAATGTTGTGCACCTGATTGTTGTTTGGTTATTTGTTGTTATTTGTTGAGATTGTTAAACGTTTATGTTGTTTGCTTTTATTTCGCGTTACACATAAAGCAGAATATTGTATAAATGTTTTTCAAAAAATTAACAAAATAACCAATAATGAGTAATCAGTTTCGAATTTTGAATTTCTACTGTTTGTGGCACCAAAGAGAACTTTTCTGAAACAGAACAAATATCAACTATAGAGGAAGAACCGAAAGTCAAGCTAAAGCTAAAGGCTCTGGCAAGCGATAATAACGATATATGTACATATATCTGAATATAATTATAAAAAGTTGACAGTTTACTAAAATTCCCGAAGTCAGTTGAAGTTTCCAATCGTATGATTTCCCTGTTCATTTGTTTTTGATTTTGTTTCGTTTGGTTTGGTTTGGGACTTTCGTTTGTTATGAACACATTTACAACAAGAAACACGTGACACGCTCACTTATTTACCATTCAAGAGAAACCAAAGAAATATGTTTTTTCCAAAGTATTAAGCATGTTGTTTCGAAACGGCTTCGATGTAAGCGCAACAAGTACCCTAGTACTCGTACCTCTGTAAATGCTACAGCCCTAATAAACTAATTAAATAACCAAAAATGCTTGAAATCAAAGTGCCACTCATCTAATCATACACTCAACCACAACACACCACAGTCCACCCACAACTCTACTTACAAACACTCAGTCAAAGATCACGCATTCCATATTTCATATTCCACATATACTTCATACATAAACACACATCCATATTTACATCCTAAAAATGAAGAAACTTACCTAATATTTCCAATACTTATCGCTAAATACTCGTACAATTGTAATACTCTACCATACTATAATACTCTAACTGTATACAATAATACTACTTTCCTATTCCATATTAATGCTTTGTAATTAACACACCCACACACACACACACACACACTCAATCGTAATTCTCTATGTCTCTGAACAAGATTTTGAGTTTAATTTTATCCTTTCGTTTGTGAAATTAGTTGAAACAATTTTGGAATTCAATATTCAATCTGCTAATGAGACAAAAGTAGAGTTTTCAAAGAGTTTTTACATACAATATGTAGTCTATGCGTATACCCCATTTACATATGCTGTGTCCTTGGTGTTTGTGTGCAACATAACTGAACGTCTCCCATCTACCGTCTACCCCCTACCTGATCAGGCGGACCGTCTCGTGCCCAATGGGAGGATGTCACTGGCTCCACGCCGCTGACCTTTGTCAACGACTGTGTCTCCTTCACGACCACTGTATCGGCTCGCTTCTGGCTAATGGACTGCCGCAACATCTCGGATGCCACCAAGATGGCCACAGAACTTTACAAGTGAGTGCGCTCAGTGGATTGGTCTCCATGTGTATCTATAATCTCCATTCTCCTTTCAGGGAAGTTATTCATGTACCCTTCATAGCCAAGTTTGTGGTGTTCGCCAAGAAGATTGAACCCTTCGAGGCTCGTCTGCGTGTTTTCTGCATGACCGATGACCGCGAGGACAAGACACTGGAGAAGCACGAGCTCTACACGGAGGTGGCCAAGAGTCGCGATGTGGAGGTGCTCGAAGGCAAGCCACAGTACATTGAGATGGCAGGCAACCTAGTGCCAGTCACCAAGTCTGGCGACCAGCTGCAGCTCCAGTTCAAGGCCTTCCGCGAGAACCGTCTGCCCTTCACAGTGCGTGTAAAGGATCAACATGCGGATATCGTGGGCCGCACCCTGTTCATGAAGGAGCCCAAAGTGGCCAAGGGCGAGCCACCACAGCAGCCCATCTGCATACTGAACATCGTGCTGCCAGAGGCTGTGATACCGGACTCGACCACAGCGTTCTCCGACCGCGTGACTTCCGCCTACAGATCCTCCATGTTCAGTCTGAGCAAGCACCAGAACGACCACTACATCGGCGACATTCGCATTGTGGATTTGTCCAATCTGCTGGGCAAGGACTGGATACAACTGGCGCCCGAGATCGGCATCAACGCGGAGGAGATCGACGAGATTATCAACCAGAACACCGACAGCATAGCCAGGCAGGCACAGAGCATGATCCGCCTGTACAAGGACAAGCCAAACTACGACATACAATCCCTGGAGACGGCACTCAAGAACATCGGCCGAGAAGACATCATGAAAAAGTGCAAGAGTGGAAGACTCTCACACTCACGCGAGTTCGACGAAACGGACATCATGAAGAACTCGGAATCTGTGGAAGAGCTGGTTCGCAGAGAAAGTAAGTAGAGAAGTCTTACTCCATCAGACAGTATATAGTAATCTCTCTCTTGATGATATTTCCAGGCAAGCGAATCCAGCAGATCAACGAACGTGAAGAAGTCAAGTACTCTGCCGAAGAAAAGGAAGTCGAGGAGTCCGAGTCCGACGAGGAACAAGCCAAACGGACGGTGGCCGAGAGGCGCGAGAAGATTGTCAAGCGCCTGTCCATGGAGCGTTCCATACCGGCCTCAACGCAAAAGAAGGAGATCACCCGCGAAATAACCGAAATCAAACGAAAGAGTCTCATTGAGGATAAGAAGGCGCATCACGAGTCCGAGATCTTGATGCAGCTCCCCGCCGACAATGTGATTATAAAGACAGCGGGTGTGCCCGAACAAGTCATCAAGATGAAGATGGGCAAGATGGACTCCACGGAGGTGAGCAAGAGCGACTTCGACAAGGAGCTGACGCACAAGTTCAAGTCATCCGGCCGCAGCTCTGAGGAGGAGGAACAGCCATCACCCGACGCCGTAGACAAGATTGTCCAGGACATCAGTTCTGCTGAAAAAACGGAGAAAGATGCAGTGACCTTTACTCGGGCCACGACCATCACCCGACAGGAGGCACGGGATATCACCGAAGATTTCCTGGAGATGGAGAAACGCAGCCAACTACCAACGACAACGGCCACAGTGCACGAAAAGTTTGTTGAGGAGGTGAAGGAGAAGAAGACTAGCCCCATAGCTTCAGTCACGCCGGAAACTGTGAAGGAGGTCGAGCACTTCATCAGCGAAGTGACTGACATCGCCAGCAAGAAGGTGGAGAACATAATTAGCTCCTTCGAGAGCGCCAAAACAGAAGACATTGCCGTAACCCTACCCAGCCAGCCGGCGCCCGAAACAACGAAGGTCAGTGAGACCATTAAACATCTGGAAGACGCCAAGACAGTGTCCCAAGAGCAAGTCAAGACCGTGCAGATCGTCGAGAGCACAACCATCGAAGACACAATCGCAGAATTTGAAGCGAAAAAGGTCAAATATGACTTCCACGGTGGCGAGCCAAAGACCCAAATACCCAAGCTGGTGCGAAAGCCAAGCGAGGAGTCCATGAAGCCGACTGCAGCCCCACGTGCTGTGGCGGAAGTCGAAGGCGACCTGACAGCCGAGATCAAACCCGAGAAGCCCCTTTCCAAAATACCAGTTAAATCCTCCGCGGGCGATGCCCAAAAGATTATAGATGTGGTGGACACACGGAAGGTGACCCACGACTTCCTGCAGGGTGAGAAGTTGGCCGCCGAACCCAAGGCTGCGCCAGCAGCTAGCAAAATACCCAAGGTGGAGCCACGAAAATCAGTGGAGAAGCTGACCATCGACAAAGAGTCGAAAGTCTTGGACGATGTGGTGGCTTCTACGGCCAGCATTATGACAGCAGCAGGCCTGGGAGCAGAGGTGGCCAAGGACAAGCCAGCTGGACAGCCAGAGGTTGCCGCCAAGGCAGAAACTCTCACCGAGAAGGTTTCCGAATTGATTGACACATTCCACAAGGTAGAGGAGAAGGTTGTGAAGTCTGAGAAACATTCGGAGATAGCCCACAAAATGGAAAAGACGGTCACAATCGAAGACAAAAAGCTCGCACATGCGCAGCCCAAAGAGGACAAAGTGGCGGAAAAGATAGCTGAAGTAGTCGAAACATTCCATATGATCGAAGAGCAAATAGTTACCGCCGACACCCGCAAGCTCACCCACGATTTCCTCACCATGGAGCAGCAAAGCCAACTGCCAAGCATTCCCCAAGCAACCGATCAACATCTTGAATCCAGTCTAACATCAACAACAACATCTGAGCCAGAGTCAGTGATCTCAGTGAAACCATTGCCGCCTGCGAGCAAGATACCTGTGGTGGAGCCCAGGAAGACCCTGACCGAGGAAGCTGTGAAGCCAACGGAGCCAACCGCTAAGACACAGGTCGAGGAAGCACTGAAGCCCACTGAGGAGCAACCCAAGAAGGTTCTGCCTGAGCGTCAGCTAACCGCCGATTTCCTGAGCATGGAGCAGCAGACACAGCTACAGTCGCTGCCCGCAAAAGCTCTGGTTGAGGAAGTTATCAAGTCCGCTGAGCAGTTGGTTGAGCAGAAAATGCAGACCGAGTCCCAGCCAGAGAAAACTCTGATCAAGGAGGAAGTGAAACCAATTGAGCAGCTGACCAAGCAGGAGCCACTGCACGAGCGTCAGCTAACCGCTGACTTCCTGAGCATGGAACAGCAAACACAGCTGCATCCCGTTATCCAGCCATCAGTACTGCCGCAAATCATCGATTCGATTCTGCCAGAAAAGACGGTGTCCAAAGGCGATGGCATTGAGTCGGCGGCACCGATTGGAGATGCTTCGCTCTTCCAAACACCCAAACCGGAGTTCGCTCTCGTTACCCAGAAGCCGGAAAATCTGCCGAGTGTGGTCCGGGAACTTTCTGAGTACGATAGCGATACCTTTGACAAACGAGCCACTGTTCCATTGAGTGAGTTAATCAAAGAGGAGGGCCTCAGTGCTCCCCTGTTCATGGAGCCACGTAAATCCCTGACCGATGCCGAGTTCTGCAAGTCTGTGGGCGAGACGATCAGCAAGAAGATGAGCGCGGGAGTCATTGAGATATCAGATGAGCTCAAAAAAATCGGTAGCTAACCCTAGTGAAATGTTAACCCATAACCGAGTTTACCTACTCACTTTCCTAACTTTTTCAGCGAGCGATATTCCAGACTCCCAGACTCCACCGCCCACACCCAGCGACACGAAAATCGATAAGCAGAACGAGGAGCCGGAGCTGATCAGCTTGGAGCGTGGTAAGTGATGGCAAAACTTTAAACTTTGACTTGAAACCTTAATTAATCTCATTTTGATTCTGCTCGTGCGACAGATTATCTTGGCGACACTGTGACCACGCTGCACACGACCACAGAGTCGACGTTTGAGCGCGTTTCTGCCATAACAAAAATAGGTAAGTCCATTGTATGAAACGAGTGGATGGCTGTTCCCTGCTCTCCGCTCAATTCTCAATGCAATTTGTAATTGTTATGTAAACTTACTTTCTATATATATATTTTCCTATGTTTGCCTCTTTCGGTAAAAGACCATAAATTGTATCGATGATTTACTGTACACCTTTTCATTTCCCTTTACGATTGAATTTGCTTTTGAGTTTGTGCCACAATCCGTAGTGTTTCTCTTTGTTTCCTTTACTCCCGTTCAGTTTCACTCCCACTATTCTCTGTTCCCCAACGTTTTCTATGTTTGTCTTGATTTGGGTCCAAAGGCTTTTTGTATGCAAAATACCATTCAACCATTAAACGATTGCGCTCCCAGAATACAAAAATAGTTACCATAATTGTAATCGTATATGTAAACGCGTATCTCAAACGGCAAACTGCTAACTGCTAGTGTGTGTATCTTAATCAAAAAAGTCTGTAAGTGCGGCAGTAAACATAAACTTAACATAAACATAACTCAATAACGAATCACATTGAATGAATCTGGCCACAACATCTCCCCGATATTCACTCGTAGTACTGAGGCAATGCTGCTCTGCAGAATGTAGTCAGGCAATCCAGACTGGCTGCCAGGCAGGCACTAATCCAATTACGTGGAACACTGCCCTAAAACTGGCGAAAGGTCGGAGAGACATGGCTAATTGTCTGGGCAGCCGCCTCATGGCGAATACATAACATTCAATGGCGGGCAATGTCAACGCCAATCCGATCGATACATTGATCCACAAGTCGATTACCCCATGCCCACTGAAGTTGTAGAATTTACTTGAATTTACTTTCGGGATAGCTCCTCAAGGGGTGTCTGGCGAAAGCCTATTAGCCATTAGCCCTCCTTTAAAGTGAATCGCAGTTAACGGCACATTTCAGTCGCTTCTTTATTTAATTGGTGGATGGCGGATGGGCAAACCCCCGATTGTACACTTATGTCATAGGACCCCGGGGCCAGGGGCTCGGCCGCAAAGCAGACTGACGAAAGCCGAGCGCTGCCGTATTCTTAATTTAATTTGCTTCTGGAATTCTTGCAGTTTTGCAGTACAGAGCACGGCAACCGTTTCGGGTAGGTTTAGTCTCGAAATTGTATTTCCCAAGTACGCGTGAGATGAGAGTGTAGTTTCCGTATACTCATTTGGTGGTGCTTCCTGTGCGTTTAGATTGATTTATAGATTTATAGATACAATATACGTCCACTCGTGCAATACCATATCCAAGTAGCTGAATATTTTCACCTTGTGCTGTTGGTTGTGGTTCATTCAATGCATAACAGAATAAAAATATAATCTCAACACATAATAAATGGAATAATTGAAACTTCAGCTATCCAAATAAATCAAAACACAAACCAAACACTAAAGTAACCTTAAGTCTATCGTATTTTAATGGTAAGTTCTCATGTACAATAACAATCAATTTGAAAAGTTGCCCAGTAATTAGGATATGTGTTCTCTGATCTGACGTTTTCTGATGGGTATCGTCTGATGATAGATAGGGCTGTCTCTCAAACACTCATGATTACTCGTACAACAATTACGTTTGCAATTTTTGAACAACTATTTAAGCAATTGAGTTCAGTTTACGTTACTCTCCAATATAACTAATTCGATTTGTGTTACCCTATGTAATCTACCTTCTTGTTAACTACTTATACTCGTATTCGTATTAGTATTCGTATTCATCAGGCCTATGGATAAACCACAGCCTATAATCAATCTACTACTACTAATCTACTCTAATCTAAACATACTCGTACGTATAGCGTTTACAACAAGATTTTTTTCATTAAGATAAACACTTTTGGCATACTCTCGCGGATATCGGATATCGGTAATCCAAAATAAAAATGAAACGAACCCTATTGAAACCGTATTGGGATCCGCACTGTGAGCGCTGATCTCCATACGAGAACTCCTCATCGATGAACACTCCAATGAACCACCATGGCTTTCAGTTTGCAATGTTTATGTTTGATTTGATTTCAGCAAAAATATTTATATGTTCTGTTGCTTTCGTAATCTTTGGCAAATCCCCTAGTGAGGAGACATACATGCATACAAATATCCATATAGTATATATGTTTAAAGATAATACTATACTATACTGTACTGTAACTGAATGCTAAGTCGAGTCACATCCAAACCTCACTGTAGCGTCTTTCTATATATACTTACATATATGGTACTCGTATTCTTTGTCCTTATTTGCGAATTACAACTACAATATTTCTATCTATACTCGTATTAGCCTCACCATAACCATTGAAATCGTTTGATTTGTATGCACCCAAACCCAAAACCAGACTCCACCAACCCAGCGCGCTTCTTATGATGTACCCGTAATTTGGTTCTAGCATTCTCACTTCTGTATTCTGTATGTGACATATGATGTCGTGGTTCGTTCTCATTCCTGCAGTAGCAGTTCTTGCCAATTTTGCCTTTTGATTTCACAGTAAACATGAACATTGCTTAAATAAATTGCTTACCAAAAATGTGCAAACGTAATCAGCGAAGATCGTAATCGAATAATTAATTGTTGAATTTTTTGTGCAGCAGCCAAGCTCTGAAGTTGGAGAGGCATTCAGCATCCAAAGTCAAGAATCCACGACCTCATATGCGGCATATCCGCTTAGATCGGTATCATCTGATCTTTTGATTTTTGCTTTTCAAATAAAATATCCAACTCGTACTCGTACTCGTAAGCATAAGCATTATTTGCATGTTTGTGCCTGCTGCTGGGTTTTTGGCGTACAGCTTGTAGTCGTTCTTACCTATATATATTGTATATGTACCTACTATTCCGATGTACGTATCTATATACATATGTATTGCCGAAACTTTCAACTGCACTGTGTACATAATAGTCTAACCCACCATAACTACATTATAGATATGGTTTTGATTGATTGTATTCGGTGTTAACTGTGTCTTTATACTATTGCCATGTTTTCTACTCTACTACCCAAAATGAACCAACAAATATTTGTGCCCTCACGGAACGAACGCCTCAAACAGAGCACTTCAGTGTTCATAATGTAAAAACCGAAACATTTACAACAATCGATGAACCTGATAAGCTGCTTCCTAGTATGGCAGCCTCCCCCGATATCCACAAAATGTACTCACCAGACACTACCTCATTTCCAGAAATGAGCACAAGTAGTCAAACACCAAAGATGACAGCACCCAAAACCACAACTACAACGACGACTACTGTGACAACGCAAATAGATCGCACCAAGATAGATCTGACTGTCCCTGTGCAGGGGCAGCGTCAGGAGAAGGATCAGGAAAAGAAGGAGAAAGAGAAATCACAGCCAGAAGATACAGTGATAGAAACAGATACAGACACAGATAGAACTTCCAGTGATAGAGAGTACTTAGAGCAAATTATGGCATGTGGCGACGTTAGACGCAAGATAGAGCGCTTGGAGAGCACCGCCAGTTCAGAGACAGAGACCACAGAAAGTCCGCCGAGTGTGGCTCCCAAGTATATAGGCGATAATGTGCCGGTGGTGAAGGAGGTGGTGCAGAGCATTGAGGATAAGTTCTGCGGCACAGTGGTGTCGGCCATTCCCTTCCCAGTTCAGAAGCGGCCTCCGCACGAAGACGGCCAGGAACCGGATGTGGCAGAGGTAGAGAAGCAAATACTAACGCCAGCAGATTTGGCGCTGGAGCAGTTGATTAAGTGGGAGTTGCCCCCAGAGGTGGTAAAGCTGTCCCCCATCGAGGCCACGGCTGCTGGCCTGCAGGAAATTCAGGAGGAAGTTTGCGAGAAGATTTGCCAGAAGCGGAAGGCATTTGAGGTGGCCGAAGACTTAAGTGAAACGGAAAAGACTTTACCAGAACAGGAACTAGGCTTAGATAAGAAAGTAGAGCAGGTACCTGGTGCAGGCAAGATTTTAACCGAGTCCCTTGACCAGCACATAGACTTAGTAGGTAAGGAACCTTTGGAGGCGCTGCCAAAGGTAAGGGAAGTTGTACAGGACATTGAACGGCGCTATCCCACAGCGAGCTTAGAGGCCAAGCCGTTTAGTCCCCGCAAAAGAATTGCCCAGGAGCGTCAGGCAGATGTTTCGTCTATAGAGCAGCAGATTTTAGACGACACTGATATGATTTTAGAAGGGTTAGGCTCCAAGCGTATTCCCGAACAGAAGGTAGTTTCCCCAGTCTTGGCCTCGTCCAAGCAGAGCCCCAGTATTGAAAACCTAGAAGACGTCTGTGAAAAGACATGCTCAAAGCGCACAATCTCAGTCATGGCAAAGGCCTTCGAAAAGCAGCCAGAAATCGAACCTCTGCCTGAAGTTGACGATATAAAATCGACAACAGCCAAGTTCCTAGAGCGGGAGACTATCAGCTATGATGTGGCTGAGAGCATCAAGGAGTTCGAGGCGAAGAGTGTGGTACAGGAGTGTCTGACTGGGGCGGCAGAGAGTCAAATTAGATGGTTAACAGAATGTGATATTCCAGAATTCCCTGTAGAGGCAACTCAGGATACTAGACTTGTAGAATTCCCCAAACTTGCACACACCCTAGAACGATTGCATTCCATTTCCAAAACTGACATCGAAGACACCAAACAGTTCGTGCACGCAGTTGGCGGCTATGAGGAGAAGCTGACCAACATCATTGAACATGACGAACAGGCACGAGCTCAAGCCGATAGTCAGAACTTGGAAAAAGAGACAACCGATAGGTTTCCTATACACGATAAAACAGTCGAGCTTCAAACCCACCAGAACCTGGTCTTAAAGACCCCTGAAATTCCCCAAGTGACTGACAATACAAAGACTAAGTTCCCATCAGATTCGAAACCAGCTACAGATACTATCCTAGTCGAAAGCGACAGTGATGAAGAGCTTGACAAAGAAAAACTCCAAAAACTAAAGCATTTATCAACCATAGAGCCTGAATCCACTTTAGAGGCAACTAAGAAATATATTTATTCTTCCACATACGAGGAAACGGTTACCCAAACGAATAACTCTTATAAGTTTCCAACAGCGAAGGATTTCTTGGGTGACAAATATGGGGAGAAAAATGAAGATAAGCCTTCTGTCCTTGCTAAACCTGAGGACAAGCCCAAGGATCCTCTTGACTCAGTTAAGCCAAGTCACAAAGTGTATTCAGACGATGAAAGTGATGAGGAATATGGCGTTCCCAGACCCCAAGAAAAGCCCGCTAGCCAGCCAATTCCTTCGGCAGTTCCTTCTGTAGTGGCTGCAGATAAATCTCCACTTAAAGATATCCTCAAACAGGAAACTGTTGTGGAGCTAAAGACAGAAGAATTTGCAAGTTCAACTAAGACAAATATCGCCACTGTGGTCTCGCAAACTTCCGATTTGATAACAAGTTCATTCCCTGAAGATAAACCGAAACTAATTGACTTAAAAGACTATAAACCATTTGACTTGAAAGACGACAAGGTCCCAGCTAAACCTGAGGACAAACCCAAGTCTCCTCTTGACTCAGTTAAGCCAATTCCCAAAGTGTATTCAGACGATGAAAGTGATGAGGAATATGGTGTTCCCAGACCCCAAGAAAAGCCCGCTAGCCAGCCAATTCCTGCGCCAGTTCCTTGTATCGTTTCTGCAGATAAATCTCCACTTAAAGATATCCTCAAACAGGAAACTGTTGTGGAGCTAAAGACAGAAGAATTTGCAAGTTCAACGAAGACAAATATTGCCACTGTGGTCTCGCAAACTTCCGATTTGATAACAAGTTCATTCCCTGAAGATAAACCCAAACTAATTGACTTGAAAGAAGATAAACCATTTGACTTAAAAGATGAGAAGGTCCCAGCTAAACCTGAGGACAAACCCAAGTCTCCTCTTGACTCAGTTAAGCCAATTCCCAAAGTGTATTCAGACGATGAAAGTGATGACGAATATGGTGTTCCCAGACCCCAAGAAAAGCCCGCTAGCCAGCCAATTCCTTCGGCAGTTCCTTCTGTAGTGGCTGCAGATAAATCTCCACTTAAAGATATCCTCAAACAGGAAACTGTTGTGGAGCTAAAGACAGAAGAATTTGCAAGTTCAACTAAGACAAATATTGCCACTGTGGTCTCGCAAACTTCCGATTTGATAACAAGTTCATTCCCTGAAGATAAACCGAAACTAATTGACTTAAAAGACTATAAACCATTTGACTTGAAAGACGACAAGGTCCCAGCTAAACCTGAGGACAAACCCAAGTCTCCTCTTGACTCAGTTAAGCCAATTCCCAAAGTGTATTCAGACGATGAAAGTGATGAGGAATATGGTGTTCCCAGACCCCAAGAAAAGCCCGCTAGCCAGCCAATTCCTGCGGCAATTCCTTGTATCGTTTCTGCAGATAAATCTCCACTTAAAGATATCCTCAAACAGGAAACTGTTGTGGAGCTAAAGACAGAAGAATTTGCAAGTTCAACGAAGACAAATATTGCCACTGTGGTCTCGCAAACTTCCGATTTGATAACAAGTTCATTCCCTGAAGATAAACCCAAACTAATTGACTTGAAAGAAGATAAACCATTTGACTTAAAAGATGAGAAGGTCCCAGCTAAACCTGAGGACAAACCCAAGTCTCCTCTTGACTCAGTTAAGCCAATTCCCAAAGTGTATTCAGACGATGAAAGTGATGAGGAATATGGTGTTCCCAGACCCCAAGAAAAGCCCGCTAGCCAGCCAATTCCTTCGGCAGTTCCTTCTGTAGTGGCCGCAGATAAATCTCTGCTTAAACCTGAAGATAAACCTAAACCATTTGACTTGAGAGATGAGAAGGTCCCAGGTAAACCTAAGGACAAACCCAAGTCTCCTCTTGACTCAGTTAAGCCAATTCCCAAAGTGTATTCAGACGATGAAAGTGATGAGGAATATGGTGTTCCCAGACCCCAAGAAAAGCCCGCTAGCCAGCCAATTCCTGCGGCAGTTCCTTGTATCGTTTCTGCAGATAAATCTCCACTTAAAGATATCCTCAAACAGGAAACTGTTGTGGAGCTAAAGACAGAAGAATTTTCTAGTTCAACTAAGACAAATATTGCCACTGTGGTCTCGCAAACTTCCGATTTGATAACAAGTTCATTCCCTGAGGATAAACCCAAACTAATTGACTTGAAAGACGATAAACCATTTGACTTGAAAGACGACAAGGTCCCAGCTAAACCTGAGGACAAACCCAAGTCTCCTCTTGACTCAGTTAAGCCAATTCCCAAAGTGTATTCAGACGATGAAAGTGATGAGGAATATGGTGTTCCCAGACCCCAAGAAAAGCCCGCTAGCCAGCCAATTCCTTCGGCAGTTCCTTCTGTAGTGGCCGCAGATAAATCTCCGCTTAAACCTGAAGATAAACCTAAACCATTTGACTTGAGAGATGAGAAGGTCCCAGCTAAACCTGAGGACAAACCCAAGTCTCCTCTTGACTCAGTTAAGCCAATTCCCAAAGTGTATTCAGACGATGAAAGTGATGAGGAATATGGTGTTCCCAGACCCCAAGAAAAGCCCGCTAGCCAGCCAATTCCTTCGGCAGTTCCTTCTGTAGTGGCTGCAGATAAATCTCCGCTTAAACCTGAAGATAAACCTAAACCATTTGATTTGAAAGACGATAAACCATTTCACTTGAAAGAGGAAAAGGTCCCAGCTAAACCTGAGGGCAAACCCAAGTCTCCTCTTGAATTAGTTAAGCCAAGTCCAATAGTGTATTCAGACGAGGAAAGTGATGAGGAATATGGTGTTCCCAGACCCCAAGAAAAGCCCGCTAGCCAGCCAATTCCTTCGGCAGTTCCTTCTGTAGTGGCTGCAGATAAATCTCCGCTTAAACCTGAAGATAAACCTAAACCATTTGACTTGAAAGACGACAAGGTCCCAGCTAAACCTGAGGACAAACCCAAGTCTCCTCTTGACTCAGTTAAGCCAAGTCACAAAGTGTATTCAGACGATGAAAGTGATGAGGAATATGGTGTTCCCAGATCCCAAGAAAATCCCGCTAGTCAGCCAATTCCTTCGGCTGTTCCTTCTGTAGTGGCTGAAGATAAATTTCCGCTTACACCTGAAGATAAACCTAAACCATTTGACTTGAAAGACGATAAACCATTTGACCTGAAAGACGACAAGGTCCCAGCTAAACCTGAGGGCAAACCCAAGTCTCCTCTTGACTTAGTTAAGCCAAGTCCAATAGTGTATTCAGACGAGGAAAGTGATGAGGAATATGGTGTTCCCAGACCCCAAGAAAAGCCCGCTAGCCAGCCAATTCCTTCCGCAGTTCCTTCTGTAGTGGCTGCAGATAAATCTCCGCTTAAACCTGAAGATAAACCTAAACCATTTGACTTGAAAGACGATAAACCATTTGACCTGAAAGACGACAAGGTCCCAGCTAAACCTGAGGGCAAACCCAAGTCTCCTCTTGACTTAGTTAAGCCAAGTCCAATAGTGTATTCAGACGAGGAAAGTGATGAGGAATATGGTGTTCCCAGACCCCAAGAAAAGCCCGCTAGCCAGCCAATTCCTTCGGCAGTTCCTTCTGTAGTGGCTGCAGATAAATCTCCGCATAAACGTGAAGATGAACCTAAACGTAGAGATTTGAAAGACGAGAAACCATATAACCAGAAAGACGACAAGGTCCCAGCTAAACCTGAGGGCAAACCCAAGTCTCCTCTTGACTTAGTTAAGCCAAGTCCAATAGTGTATTCAGACGAGGAAAGTGATGAGGAATATGGTGTTCCCAGACCCCAAGAAAAGCCCGCTAGCCAGCCAATTCCTTCGGCAGTTCCTTCTGTAGTGGCTGCAGATAAATCTCCGCTTAAACCTGAAGATAAACCTAAACCATTTGACTTGAAAGACGACAAGGTCCCAGCTAAACCTGAGGGCAAACCCAAGTCTCCTCTTGACTTAGTTAAGCCAAGTCCAATAGTGTATTCAGACGAGGAAAGTGATCAGGAATATGGTGTTCCCAGACCCCAAGAAAAGCCCGCTAGCCAGCCAATTCCTTCGGCAGTTCTTTCTGTAGTGGCTGCAGATAAATCTCCGCTTAAACCTGAAGATAAACCTAAACCATTTGACTTGAAAGACGATAAACCATTTGACCTGAAAGACGACAAGGTCCCAGCTAAACCTGAGGACAAACCCAAGTCTCCTCTTGATTTAGTTAAGCCAAGTCCAATAGTGTATTCAGACGAGGAAAGTGATGAGGAATATGGTGTTCCAAGACCCCAAGAAAAGCCCGCTAGCCAGCCAATTCCTTCGGCAGTTCCTTCTGTAGTGGCTGCAGATAAATCTCCGCTTAAACCTGAAGATAAACCTAAACCATTTGACTTAAAAGACGACAAGGTCCCAGCTAAACCTGAGGGCAAACCCAAGTCTCCTCTTGACTCAGTTAAGCCAAGTCCCAAAGTGTATTCAGACGATGATAGTGATGAGGAATATGGTGTTCCAAGACCCCAAGAAAAGCCCGCTAGCCAGCCAATTCCTTCGGCAGTTCCTTCTGTAGTGGCTGCAGATAAATCTCCGCTCAAACCTGAAGATAAACCTAAACCATTTGACTTGAAAGACGATAAACCATTTGACCTGAAAGACGACAAGGTCCCAGCTAAACCTGAGGACAAACCCAAGTCTCCTCTTGACTTAGTTAAGCCAAGTCCCAAAGTGTATTCAGACGATGATAGTGATGAGGAATATGGTGTTCCAAGACCCCAAGAAAAGCCCGCTAGCCAGCCAATTCCTTCGGCAGTTCCTTCTGTAGTGGCTGCAGATAAATCTCCGCTTAAACCTGAAGATAAACATAAACCTAAACCATTTGACTTAAAAGACGATAAACCATTTGACCTGAAAGACGACAAGGTCCCAGTTAAACCTGAGGGCAAACCCAAGTCTCCTCTTGACTTAGTTAAGCCAAGTCCAATTGTGTATTCAGACGAGGAAAGTGATGAGGAATATGGTGTTCCCAGACCC